TTACATTTCACTTTACTTAGTCATAATTTGATTGGTTGCCATATGACAGCAATATATATATCCAATATATGTCCAATTCTATAATTTAAGAAAATAGTAAATATTAGATATAGATATATGTTAAGTAAAATTTATTAGACATATATATATATATAACCTTATATATACTTATATAACCTTTTATGTATTGACGAACGTTTGAGCGTATGTCGTTTTTGCAGTGCAAAGGATTAATCCATTATTTATTCCTTCCGGACGTCGTACTATTAATTTACTATTATTACAAAAATCGAAAGTTGCACTATTTTCTTATCTCTTTTCATTTTCATTTTTACGATCAATATTGAAAATACTTTTTACTAAGCTTTGAAAAAGTTATATGAAAAGAAAAAAAAGAAAAAAAAAAGTCATACGTTAATTACAATACGATTAATTAAATATTTATTCAATTATAATCGCTTTTGATGACATTAAACTTTTCTCTAACTCCGTAAAACGATCGATACTCCGTAAGAGAGAAATAAAGAGGAAAAAGAAATTAAAAAAAAAAAAAAAAATAAAGCAAAAAAAAGAAAAGAAAGCAAACAAATTTGATAAAAAGAAGCCCTCAGAATCGAAGATAGAAACGGCCAGAGTCAGATTAGTCTGAATTGAGTTCCGTCCTTCTCACCGCGCGTCTCGGATTAGAAGACGCACACGAAGAACGGCTTGCAGATTGTGCTGAAATCGCGAGTCGCGGGAATTTCCATCGACATGACCGACTCGACCTCTGTCAGTATCCCTCTCCACTTTCGAACAGAGAATAGAGAAAGATTTACGTAGGTATCTGTTCGTGGATAAAAGATGATATGTAAATAGTAAAGTTTAAAATAATCTTTTCTCATCAAGAAATATATATATATATAAATATATATATATATATATATATATATATATATATATATATTGGGTTGTTCGGAAAGTAATTTCGTTTTTTCGCGACAGATTTAATTGTATAATATATATAAAAATAAATAGACAAAAAAAATTATAAGATAAGGAACGAAAGTGGAAAAGAGATAACATGACGTCCTAGGTTTCTTAAAGATCGATCGTCAAATATTTCTGTTTTCCTCGGCCCCGTATAACAAGGCTGCCCTTCTAGAGCATATATTCGAAAATAAATAAAAATTTTATTCGAATCCGACTTTATCTCAGACCTTCCCGAGACAATTTCTCGTTGGTAACCAAAATGTACCTTAGCTTGTGTGTCCCTTCTGCTAGATTGACTCTGGCCACAAAATCATATCTCATTTTCTCATCATTGGGCAATTTTCTTATCACTTTCCTTTTTTTTCTATTTCTTTTTTTTTTTTTTTTTTTTTTTTTTTTTTTTTTTTTTTTTTTTTTTTTTTTTTTTTTTTTTTTTTATCCGAACACTTAATTCATACTCATCATATCTCTGATTCATTTGTTGTTATAAGTACGATACAATGATTCATATCCATTAATTAATATTGTATAATTGGATACGTAGATGATATACATATATAAATATGTATTTTTATTTTTTCAATGGTCGAAAGATACTTTAAGAAATTACAATGAACTTGAAAAAAGAAGGGGGAAAAAAAAAGAAAAAAAAAAAAAAAAAAAAAAAAAACAGAAAAGAAAACCAACCAGTTGGAGAAATTAGAATTAGAATGAAATATCCTTTATAAAAGAGTATATGTTATGTATATATATACATATATGCATACCAACAATCATAAATCCCTTTTGCAATTATTCAAACCCGAATCTGAACCTGAATATCCATCCATCCGGTTTCGTAAGAGACGATTCTAGCCGTTACGCCAACCGACATGTTACGTATACTATGTACAATACATATGTACACATATGTATACATACAATACAACTTAGGATCGATTAAGAACAGTTAACATGAATTGTCGGTGAAATAAGGAATTATATACCGTCGATTATCGTTGGAAAATATTTCATTCGTTTAAGATCGATACGATCTAAAAATAACGCGAGATTATTCGGGTCGAGCTTATTTATCCTACACCCGTCATCGACATTCTCAGATGTCTATATACGCGTCATATTTTCATAACAGACAGAAGAGGATTTCGTTTATTGTTCGTTCGGTTTACTTGACGTTATAGAGAGATCGGATAAAAGAAAGGTAAGAGAGTTTTTAGGTCAGCCTTGGTGGTGGTCCTGGAGGGGAAAAAAAAAGGAAAAAAAAAAAAAGAAAAAAGAGAGAGAGAGAGAAAGAGAGAGAGAACGGACAGGGCAATTCGAGTATCGGGACGACGTTCGACGCTTAAACAATACATATTTCCAGGATCGATGAAAAACCTATATGAAAGAGAAAAATAGAATAGAATGGGATAGAGTAAAATACAATAGAATAGAATAGAATAGAATAGAGAGGGGAAGGTGAGAGAAAGAGAGAGAGAGAGAGAGAGAGAGAGAGAGAGAGAGAGAGAGAGAGAGAGAGAGAGAGAGAGAGAGAGAGAGAGAGAGAGAGAGAGAGAGAGAGAGAGAGAGAGAGAGAGAGAGAGAGAGAGAGAGAGAGAGAGAGAGAGAGAGAGAGAGAGAGAGAGAGAAAGAGAGAGAGTGAAAAAGAAATAACGAAAAACACTTGAAATCGCGAGATTATGTAACGTCCAACGTCGTGGAATTAACAGCACCGACATGCAACGATGCACCTGTATAGCGATTTTCGTGACGTCGCGGCGATTTGGCGTGTTTAGCAAACGACTTGACGAGTCATTAAACAGAGAACACTGGCAATTAATTATCACGTTTGCGTAATCGCTGCTCGACAACGATGGAGGCAGGATTGCGCAACTATCGCTCATTCTACTGTACTCTGACCCTCTACCTCCCTCCCTCCCTCCCCACCGCCCCCACCCACCCTCTACTCCCCTTCCCACCGTCCCTCCTCTCCTGCTTCAACTCCTACTGCTCTTACTCCTCTTACTGTTGAACGACACTTCCCTCCTCCTCCTCCTCCTCCTCCTCCTCCTCCTCCTCCTCTCCTCCTCCTATCGTCCTCCCGCATCCACGGACAACACCAGTACCCACAGTTTCAACTATCCTAACCTTAATTTTACCTCGTCGTATCGTAAATACGATAATACAATTTCGAATGGTCAAAAAAGAAAAGGACAAAGAAAAAAAAAAGATAAGATAAAAGGATATGCCTTTTATAAAATGTCCTTATCATTGATTTATTATTGTTAATATCGATAAATAATTGAATTATATGCGATTTGAATTATAGATTAGTAGTATTAAAGCCGATGAATAATTTAATTATACATGTATAATCAAATTATTGATGACTGATAAAACATATGATAAAATTTCAATATCTAATGCAAATAGCACAAGTAATAAAAATAATGTTACATATATATATATATATATATATATATATATATATATATATATATATATGTAATATAATCTTAATCAAATATTTTGATAAAATATTTAATGTGCGAATATTGTATTATTCGGTCATTAGATACACATTTCTATTGATTAGATCAATATTTTTATTAATTAATGATAAATATTTTGTAAAATGCATAGTCAATATATATAAATATTTTGATTAGCATTAAAATATATAATAATATATAAAAATTTCAATATCTAATATGTATATATATAATATCTAATATGTATATATATAATATGTATATATATAAAATATATAATAATATATAAAAATTTCAATATCTAATATGTATATATATAATCGGTATAAATAATGAAGCGTCAGGATTACGTCAGGGTTGTTGCATCAGGGTAGCGTCTGGGTTTAGTCTGAGTTTATTATAAATACTGTTCGTCTATTTATAAAAATACTGACGAATCATTAGATTTATAAAATATTTTAATTAAAATAATGACAGTTTCTTTTTTCTTTTTTTTTTATATTAATCAATGTAATAATACACATCATTTATATTACGTATCAATATTTCATTTATAAATACCGATTTATCTAAAATATGATAGAAAATGTTGAGAAATATTGATCCAATAAATAAAAAACAAATAAATCTCTCATAAGAACTTATAATTATATTCATTAAAGATTTAAATTATATAATAAAGTAATTAATTAAGGCAAAACACTTTTTATATTATGTAAAAAAAATAATATATCGGACACAAATATACATCATTAATATTTAATTAAATATCCATTATATAAGTGTATATATAAATATATATGAATGAATGAATGAATGAATGAATGAATGAATGAATGAATAAATGGCAAAACCACGCGCGTAAACGTCTGCTCATGCTCTTTTGCCGAGGGAAAACAAACGGAGGATATTCGCATACATACATCACACTTATCTCATATCTTTCTTCTACCATCTACGACATAGTGATCTATAGTTTCCTCTATATCACAATATAAAAACACCTGGTATAATATATTTGAATAAATCTCTCTAATCCCCGATCGAACTCTAAATATTTAAAACCTAGTCGATTTCATTTCGTTTCCATTCGCTTCTTTTTTTTCCTTTTTCTTTATTCTTTTTTTTTTCTTTTTTTTTTTCGTAACATTAATTAACCATGCCTATCGATTCGATATTGAGCAACAAGAAAAAAAAAAAAAAAAGGAGTGAGGATGGAGGTATGAAATGGAGTGGGATGGGGGAAGAGAAAAAAACAGTGTTTGGTGAGAGAAAGAGAGAGAGAGAAAAAGAGAGGAGGGACGAGTGAGGCGGGCAGAGAAATAGAAGTGAGAGAGAGATAGAGTGTGTGTGAGAGAGAGAGAGAGAGAGAGAGAGAGTGTGCATTTGTGAGAGAAAGAGAGAGTGTAGAGTGTGTGTGTTTGTGTGTGTGTGTGTGTATGAGAGAGGGAGAGAGTATTTGTAAATGAGATAGAAAGAAAGAGAGAGAAAGAGAGAGAAAGGGACAGAGAAATAGAGAAAGAGAGAGAGAGAGAGAATGTTACGTTAGACTGGTGGAGGAACCGCCAAACGATGAAAGCGACAGAAAGCGCGTAACCAAGCGTGAGCGGCGCACGCTCGTACATTCGTTAGAAATTGCGGCCGATGCCGCGTTTTAACCTTCCGCTCGCACGTGCTCGCCGGCGCGGCACGCCGTATTCCACGCGTACGCATGCTTAATTGCATGACCTATTTGCGATCTCATTATACAATGCGCTCCGATTATTCAGTTTGGTTCATGCGCGTTAAACGCATACATTCGTACACGTTTATAATTCTAATGCACGATCCAGAGAAAGAGAGAGAGATTGAAGGAAAGAAGGAAGGAGGGAGGGAGGGAGGGAGGAAGAAAAGAAAGAAAAAGCAAAAAAATAAAAAAAAAAAAAGAAAAGAAAAGAAAAAGAAATAGAAATACGACGTTGCTCGTAAAAATTGTAAAAATCAAATATCTAATGGTATATTATTATATGTCTCGTTGTATCCTAATTGTATTAATAATTAACGACAAATGTTCCACGTTATACCGGTTGATATAATTTATAGAAATATGGATTTACGTATGCATTTGTTTGTATTATAAAATTGCACGTTAATGTACATATGTATATGAAATGTTATTAGAACACTTGTCATCATTTCTTGCATCATCGTGTTATATGAAACCGTATTATATACGAGAGTTCGCTGTATTTTATATTATGTACCTTTTGACGATTTCAATTTACTATTTTATACGTTATCGTATTGATGAGCAAACAATTCCGCATTATAACTTAGTCAGGAGCCAAAACGATTAATTTCACAAAATAGAAAGTGAAGAGAATAAATTATTGATTAAAAGTGGAACTGATTGTTATTCAATGATTCATAACTAAGATATAGATATACATACATATAATAAATAAAAATAAAATCTCTACGACTTGTGTATACATTATTAACTGAAGTGAATAGATAATGATATAGATGGTGCAAGACAGTGGTCATGGGTCAAAAAAAACATTTTTCTAAACAAAAACAAACAAACAAAATAAAAATAAAAATAAAAATAAAAATAAAAATGAAAGAATCGCTATGCGTAAACGTCATCGCATAGCGATTGTTGTTGTTGTTATTATTGTTATATTGTAATAAGAAAAATGAAAGAAAGAAAAAAAACCATTGAGAGAGAGAGAGAGAGAGAGAGAGAGAGAGAGAGAGAGAGAGAGAGAGAGAGAGAGAGAGAGAGAGAGAGAGTGAGAGGAAAAAGCGATATACATATATAAAGAGAAAAAGATAGATAATAGCGTGCGAGAGAAGCGGAATTCGAAGAAATTCTGAGGCGACATCCGAAGGAATTACTTTGATAGCCTCCGCAGTCCGTAAAGGCAGGGAGGTATGTAAGAGAAGAGACAAGGAGCCTATAGGTATTATAAATCAAGGAAGAAGGTCCGTGAAAGGAACGTTAGTGGCGTTCGACAACGAAGGAAGAAGGAAGAAGCTGCGCGTGGAAAGAGTGAAAAGGAAAGGGACAACGGGGGATGAGAGATAGGGGAGAGGTGGAGGAGTATGGTCATGGTCGTACATCACCCTTGGTATTTACGACGTACCATCGTAAATCAATGATCGCACGAACAACGCGGTTCGACCAAATTCCTTTCCCTTCCTTCCGACCATTCCGACGCTTCCTGTCCACGAGTCCGTTCAAAAGAGAGAGAAAGAGAGAAAGAGAAAGAGAGAGAGAGAGAAAGAGAGATAGGGGTTGGGGGGAGAGAGAGAGAGAGAGAGAGAGAGAAATCACATCGATATTCCTCCTCGTTTTCGATAGGATCAATGACGATCGATAATCTTACGACAAATCGCCGACCAAAGCCACACACGAATGAATTTTACGTACCTACATCGAAATTCGAAGATTCGAATGGCCGATTATTCGAGATCCTCGTAGTGCATGTAAGACGAATCGTTCATTTTTTTTCTTTTCTTTTCTTTGTTTTCTTTTTTTTTTTTATTTTTCTTTTTTTTTCTCGTAGTTGCGCTCCGATTTGTCTTTCGGCAAATTCCCTTCCCCGGGGTCATCACCAATAAACAACGAGACACGGACCTGGATGTAACTCGGTGGATCTTCGATCCATATTCGATTACGAATTCGTTGATATGGAATCGATTACATCGAACCAATGAGAGAGATCGTATTACGATGAATAAGATATATTGCGTGCATATATGTATGTATGTATGTATGTATGTATGTATGTATGTATGTATGTATGTATGTATGTATGTATGTATGTATGTATGTATGTATGTATGTATGTATGTATGTATATATGTATGTAACATATGTCTATATATTTCTATAACGGGAAAGAAAGATTTTTACGAAAGAATTCGTAAGAACATTGTAAGAGTCTACTGTAATCTTTGAAGGAAACATGAAAATTCAAGCGTAACGTTGACCTGAAAAACTGACAATTGACAATAAGTCGAACTGGTGACCAGATTTGGTGTAAAACGAGACCTACATATACATATATATATATATATATATACCAACACGTCCGAGCACACGCATACGCACATATAAAAAAAAAAAAGAAAAAAAAAAAAAGACAAAATAAGAAAAAGAGCAAAGAAAGGGAACAAAACGAAAAAAACCGACGAAAAAAAAGGAAAAACGTTTCGTTGATTCAGCGAGAAAATAGACGCTTGACCATACGAGACCGGGTCAGTCTGTGTTACGAGGGCGAGCATTGTTTGCCGGGGCCCTTTAAACGTCATTTAAACCGTGACTTCTAACAGAGAGAAAGAAAGAGAGAGAGTGAGAGAGAGAGAGAGAGTCCGGAAAGGATCGTTTTAACGAGGTTTTCAGACGGGCCAGGTCAGACTGGTCGGTCCTCGATTACGAGCACTGACCACGAGACGTTGCCCTTTGCTGTTTCGTGGAACCTCGAAAAAGAAAAGCAAAAAGAAAAAAGATATGTATATGTATATGTATATATATATATATATATATATATATATATATATACCTACTGGTTTCTTATATACGAAAGAAAAAGGATAGGGCCTCCTTCCCTGTGGTTGATCCCACGTGATCCGTGCAAAATCGTATTACGCGTTTGTCGTTCCTACATGAAGCTTCAATGACGTTTTCGCAAATCATTCCGCATCGGAAAAGATTTGCCGAAAGATAGGAAAAAAAAAAAAAAAAGAGAAGGAAGTATTTTTCGTCTACAAGCACTTTATTCTCTTCAAGAAAACGATAGATACAACACGTAAATTTATCAAATTACGATAAAGCGCGTCATTTTTTTTTTTCTTTTTTTTTTAAATATATTGCAAATAACTACATCTTGTTTCCTTCGTAAGATATATCATTTTTCTCGGCGTAAACTCGGCAATACAAAAAGGGAGAAAAAAAAAAGAAAGAAAGAAAGAGAGAAGATTTCTATACAAATTACGTATAATATATATGTATATACATACTTATGTATATATGTATATATATGCATACGAGTAGAAGAATTCGATCTATAACTTTCTCTTCGTCAACTTTTCTACGACTTTCTCTTCATCAAAGATACTCGATGGTATGCCAAACGTTGAGTTTATCGTCGTCCGAAAGTTCTCCCTTCTCCCTTCTTACCACCTTCTCATCCCCATCTTCTTTCTATGCCTCCTTCGCGCCTCTCACTATTTATTTTAATTTATGAAACTCACGTTCGTCCGAAAAAAGACGGCTAAGAAACGTGCCAGAGAGAGAAACAGAGAGAAAGAGAGAGAGAGAGAGAGAGAGAGAGAGAGAGAGAGAGAGAGAGAGAGAAGAGAGAGAGAAAGAGAGAGAGAGAGAGAGAGAGAGGAGAGAAGAGACTACTTCTTCACACGAATGGCGTAGAACGTGCATGTTATCCCGATGAAAGGAAACGTGGCCGTGGAAACGGCACGAAAGAGTCAAAAACATCCCCCGAATGGATCTTCTCGAAAAGAAACTATAAAAGTACAATGAGGTTTCGAAAGGAAGACGCCTTCTCGTTCTTTAGTTCTTATAGGAAGGGAAAGGGCGCGCGCGCGCGAAAAAGAAAAAGAGAGCGAGAGAGAAAGAGAGGGGGGAGAGAGGGAGAGAGAGAGAGAGAGAAACTATCCTTCGTCCGTCACTCGCAGAAAATTCATGTTTTTCAGGTCGACGGTGAAAAGGACTACAAAGGGAAGCAAGAAGAGGGGAGAAGAGGTATAAGGGATGAAAAGGAAGGAGAGGAAAGGAGACGCTCGAGGAAACCTTTTTTTAGAGCCGGCTGAAACGATTCTGGATAAACCCGTTTGAGCGACGAGACCTGCCCCCGTACACATGCTTTTTACTCTCAACAAGAAGGACGGTTCCCCCTTAGCCCTCTTTCACGTTCGTAACATTCGAAAGGAAAAGATTTGGGATGACTCAACGTGAGCGACCACGTAATAGAGACTCGCGGAAGGACTATGAGACAAAAACAAAAAACGAAAAAAGAAAAAGAAGAAGAAAAGATAAAAGGAAAAAAGAAAAAAAAAAGAAAAGACAAAAAGAAAGAAGAAAAAGAAATCACTGACCTGATATAAATGATGACTCCGTTGGCGCATATCCTCTTCCATCCACGTGGCACCGTGACAGAGTGCTGCTGCTGTTGCTGCTGTTGCTGCTGCTGCTGGTGTTGTTGCGCGAGCACCGCATTACCGTTCATCGTGAGCACAACATTATGCTGCGCGTTAGCACCGTTCTCGTTGTTGTTGCCGTTCGCAACCGCGAGTCTCGTCGTTGAGGATGATCGCGTTGATTGCTGTTGTTGTTGTTGTTGTTGTTGTTGTTGTTGTTGCTGCACGCACGCACCACTTGCACCACCCGCACCAGAAGAAGCACTACTAGCACTACTACAAGCACCATCTCCTACCGCACCATTCATCGTCACGTTGTTCGAGCCGTCGTGCGAGGACGTTTGACTCTGACTTTCCGGACTGCTGAGACTGCTGTACGTCGATGATTCACCGATGTCTGACCTCACCGAATCACCAGACAAGGAAGACCCGGTCTGCCTGTCATATCCATCCTGTTGTTGCTGTTGCTGTTGCCTAACTTTATCGTCTCTTCTGTCGACAACACCGACGTCGTTCGTCTGTTGTCGCACAAAACGTGTCACTCGAGCCTCATTGCTCTCAAGCAAGCCAATCCTATTGACAGCGTTACCACCAGAACCGACAACAACGGCAGCAGAAGCACCAGCAACGACGTTGCTGTTTGCTACGTTGTTGTAACGATGGGAAGGGTACATCTTGAGGCTCGTATCGTCCTTGCTAGCTCGTCTACCGGCGTCCTGGGAATACTCATTGCCCAGAATTCTACCAGCGACGACTTGAGTCCTTCCGTAGACGATACCACCGACGTAATCATCCTCCTCGTCGTTCGACGACCTCGACTGATCCCTTCGAGCATCGCTCGACGCTACTACTGTCGTCGTTGCCGTGTTTCCTGTCGTCGTTATCGCAGACGTGGTTGTCGTCGTTACCGAAACGGCATGATGATCATTAGACCTTTTCAAATTCGCCCGAGTACGATCGACGGCAACGACGGTGGTAGTGGTGGTGGTAGTGATGGTGGTGGTGGTGGTGATAGCAGTGGTGCTGGTGGTGGCGGCGACGGTAGCGGCGGCGGCGGCGACGGCGGCGGCAGCCGAGTTGGCGGTTTTGGCGGGAAAGCAAGAAGCCGCCGTCGGAAGTTGTGTCGGAATGACACCACCGGCAACGTAAGCCGTCGCCGGCTGATGCCTCGGCGATGATAGCCGATAGCCGGCCGTGGTCGTCGCGACGGCCGTGGCGGCGGCTGTGGCGGCGGCATTTTGACCACCCACCGCCGTGGCGTAAGCAAAGTTCTCCCCCGAAACGTAGACCAGAACACTGCCACCACCGCCGTTGTTATTATTGTTGTTTTGTTGCTGTTGATGCTGCGGATTTTGAGGATGTTGCTGCTGTTGTTGCTGATATTGCGGGTGCTGTTGCTGAAGCTGAAGCTGCTGTTGTTGTTGTTGTTGTTGCTGTTTCTGTTGATGATGATGATGATGATCGTGGTTCGGGGGAGCAGGGTGCGTGGACGGCTGCTGCTCAGGCTTGCCGGCCATGGTCCAGGTCCAGCAGCGCTGCAAGGAACCCCGACATCACTGGAACGCACGGCGCACGCCTACGTTTAGATACCACCAGCAGGTTGCCGTTGTTGTCGCTCTGACGCATCCTCCGTCGAAAAAGAAACGATCACGCCTTTACGACCGGCACCCAAAGAGTAACGATACTATCCACTTCGTTTTTCTTCCACGTCACGAGTCTCTTACTCTTTTCGCTATTATTTTTCTTGCTATTGCTGTCGCTGCTTCTGCTGGTGTTACTACTGTTCTTGCTGTTATTACCACTGGTGCCACTGCCACCGCTGCTACTGCCAGTGTTACCGTTATCACTGCTACTACTGCTGCTGCCGCTGCTGCCGCTGCTGCTGCTGCTGCTGCTGCCGCTGCCGCTGCTGCTGCTGCTGCTGCTGCTCGTGCTATCGGAGCGGCCGTTGTCGTAGCACGACATCCTCGGCGGAAGAGTTACCGGTCCACACGACGATATCCAGGACGATCGATTTGATATTAGCTTTGTAGGATTACAACGCGATCGCACTTGCACGAACACACACGCGTGCTAACTTTTTCTTCTTTCTCTCTCTCGCTCTCTCTCTCCCTCTCTCTCTCTCTCTCTCTCTCTCTTTCTGTCTCTCTATCCTATTTTTTCTCTTACATTAGATACGTCATTCAAAGTCGTGATGTCGTAACGTGTTCTTCCCTTTTTAACACTTGTTTACTTGTTCATAAGAAATCCATTGACGATTTTAGAATTAGTCGATCGATCGACCACAATTCGAAATGTAACGACGGACACTCGCGCATCGCGTCAAACGAAGAAGACGAAGAGAAGACGATAGAAATTTCCATGTCACCTCATCTAATATAAGCTAAACGCTGTAGTAGCTGTGCCGGCTAGGACGCGCGCACGCTCCCTTTATCACTCTCTCTCTCTCTCTCTCTCTCTCTCTCTCACTCTCTCTCTCTCGCTCGCTCGCTCGCTCGCTCGCTCTCTCACTCACTCTCTGCCGGTAAATGACGAGCTTGCGTACGCTGCTGCGAAAAGACGCGCGCGCGAGAGAGAAACTACTACGCCTCGGCCGGTTCCCAAGGCCGTGTGGCGTATCGTCTCTCGACTCACTATGTGTGTCTTTCTCTCTTTTTCTCGTCGAATGAAAGCGCGCGATCTTGCCTTGATATCGATGACCGGCGATGAACGAACAGACACGACACGACCGATCGTAGCGACCTCGATCGTGAAGGACGCCTCTTCGTACTGACAGACGCGTGCGTCTAACTATATGTGTATGTGTATGTGTATGTATATGTGTATATGTATGTATATGTATATGTGTATGTGTATGTGTATACGTATCTATATATCTATATATATATATGTATATATCCGAATATACAAGTATAATATCACTCTCTTCCAAAGAAACTATAACTGGCAACCTTCGAATCGAACTATTAGTAGCGGAGCCGGCTTTATGATATCGTACCGTTTAACACACAGGCCGACCACTTAACACAACTGGTCACACTACAGTTATTATTATTACTGGTACTATTACTACTACTATTAATGTCGTCGCTGTTACTATTGCTGCCGTTGCTCTTGCTCTTGTTAATGCTTCTGCTACTGCTATTATTACTACACAACTACTACTACTACTGCTGCTGCTGCTGCTGTTACTGCTGCTGTTAATGCTACTGCTGCTACTACTCGTCCAACGAACGAACGACACTCGTTCGTGTCATCGTGGCCCACTGTCACGGGAAACGAGAGAAACCGCTCTCCGCATCGAGAAAGGAGGCTCTCCCCTCTTCTTCTTCTTCTTCTGCTTCTTCCTCGCTCCTTGTCTCCCTTCTTCCACCGACCCTCCTCCTCCTCCTCTTCTTTCTCCTTCTCCTCCTTACTCTCTCTCTCTCTCTCTCTCTCTCACTCTTCCTCTCTTATCCCTTCCACGTCAGCGTACACGAAACGACGTAGATCATTCCCTCGCGCGACTCCACATAGAACGCTCGCTCGCTCGCTTGATCGCTCGCTGGTAAGCAGAACGGGGAGACGGGACGAGGCGGGGCGGGTCGGGTCGGCAGGGTGGTGTGTAGGGGGAGAGAGAGAGAGAGAAAAGGAAGGCAGGTTCTCGATGAACACAGAACGCCGCTTGTTTTACGTTAAATCGCACGGCCGGACGAACATCGTGTTATGACGCTGTGTCATTGTCGCAGCAGCAGCAGCGGAGCAGCGGCAGCACCACCACCACCACCACCACCACCACCACCTCCTCTTCCTCCTTCTCCTCCTCCTCCTTTTTCTCCTTCTCTTCTTCCTCCTCCTCTTCCTCCTCCTCTTCCTCCTCCTCCTCCTCGTCTTTCTTCTCCTCCTTCACTTCCACCACCGGCACTACGAACCACCACCACCAATACCACCCGGTTCCACCACCGCCACTATTTTACCACCACTACCACCGCGAGCGCGCTACCACGAGAGCCTCGGGTTAACTTAACTAACCCTCTTCTTCCACGGATTCGAGAACACCTGCGCGCGGCTATAGCAGCAGCAACACTCCTCGATTTTACTTCCTACCCTTTTCTACCTTATTTCTATCTTACTTCTCGATCGCGTGCTTGCGTGTTTCTCTCCCTTTCCTTTTTCTTTTTTTTTTCTTTTTCTCTCTTTTTTATATCTTTCCCTCTCACGTTGTTACGTTGCCATTTTATGTTTCTTCCTTCTACTTCGATCCGGTCACGATACATGGGATATATCTACACACTAGTATATATATTTCATACATATACATATATATATATATGTGTGTGTGTATATATATATAGATAGATAGATAGATATATAGATATAGATATCACAGTCGGTATGGAATCGTCCTTGACGTTTGTTCGTCGTCGACCAACCCTCCTTATCACTTTTCACCAAGGGACGCGCTCTCGGAGCAAGGCGACAATCGTGATTCCATTCCGCGGATGCTATACGTACGCTGTTTTCGCGTAACTGATATTGAAAAAATATGGCTCCCTCCGCATACCCAGAAACCTTTGCGGCATCTCGGCGGCTGCCTCTTGGCGGCCGCTTGCTCCAATCTTACGATACATCGTAAAAACGTTGACCCGCGATTACGTCGCCATCTATACTCCTCTTCGTGCATCTTCGAACTACCATATCATTTCGACATCACGTGATATGTACCGCCAAAATTCGAACGCGAATTGTCTAGCGCATTATTATTATTATTATTATTATTATTATTATTATTATTATTATTATTATTATTATTATTATTGTTATTGTATTATTATTATTATTATTATTATTATTATTATTATTATTATTATTATTAATATTATTATTATTGTATGATTGAAAATTACGTACATTGAAAAACAAATTTTTTTTTCTTATATACAATTCACTTAAAATGTCTCAAAAGGTTTAAGGAAATTTAGGTGAAGAATGTAGCAAACGCAAACGAATTTGTTACTTATTATACGTTATGCTTCGTCCAATTTATTCAGATGCCTCAAAAAATGACTAATCACCAATTTGTCTATAATAAATAAGATTACAAGAAATATGCGACTATTTATTTGCAAATCTTTATAGTTATAGCTTACTGTAGTATACGACAGTGAAGTGATAAATACTTTTACGTGTCATATAAATTTACGCGAATGTATTTAAATCGTATTTCAACATATGGTACGTATTAGCTTCATTGATTGTTTAGTGTGAAAATGACAATGTATATTGCAAAAATCGCTGCGCGATCGGACAAAGATAGTCGACCAATTTTTTTATATCTTTTCTTTTTTTTTCCTTCCATTCGATATCGTCGATATTACGATATAATAATCGAAAGAAAAAAAAATTTGCCTGCAATTTTTATTTCTCTCCATAATAAAATTGGTGACACAAAGCGCGTACGTCAATTTTTAAATTATACAAATATATACTAGTCATTTCCGCACATTTTTTTCTTTCTTTCTCTTTCTCTCTCTCTCTCTCTCTCTCACTCTCACTCTCTCTAATTATATTTATAAATTTAATAGACGTGAATAAAAGATTTAGATAATTACAATACGATATATCAAGGAGTCAAAAATCTTGACACGCCTTTTAAAACCAATTGTATTTTAATATCCATCGAAAAAAAAAAAACATCTCGGGTCTTCTGTGTCAAAGTATTGATTATTCTTATAAATATAAGATATTAGAAACAATGTCACGAAATTACACAAATAAAGTTTTACGATACGCGCATTTGTCCATACATACAGGAACGTGATTCATTGTTTTTTCTTTCTTTTTCTCTCATTCTCTCTCTCTCTCTCTCTGCAACCTTTTATTTACCTTTCTTCTTAGATCACGAGCTTTCTCGAAGACGCATAAATTGAAATACTATTTATATGGAATAATGTCCCATTATTATTACTGTAAGCTGTTTTCTGTGATTTTCTAACGCCACATCTCAATGTGTTATCGCATCTGGCGATAAACTTTGCTATGACGACACTTTATTATTTCGTACCGAGACAGACATGAATCTTAAACAATTAATGACAATAAACGAAGAGTACGGATTTTATATACTTCAATACAAATTACTTATATCAGGATTGGACAATTATATAATGGTCCACATCAGGACTCTAAATCCTACTTGCCTTGTTCCAGTAATATCGAAAAGAAAAACGATCCCCAAATATTTATAATCGTATCCTATAAAACTGTATAGTTTTTGTTTTTAAGTATAAAGTGGTGGATAATGAATTGAAATAATGGGGGGGCGGGGAGGACCGGTTGATTAATAATGGCGAGGACCGTAGTATATGGCCCGCAGCATAGAAATTGCCCATCCCTGATTTATGTAATCAACATCACGTGGCCGTAATGTTATTACGTTTACCGATATCTAAATGAGAGCCACTAAATGTCTGATTGCAGAAAAAAGATTCAAAGATTGTTTTTTAGTTGAATGTTACAACACTTTGCGATAAGTTACTTATTAATTTATGACTAATTTAATGCGATGTTATATTAAATCATTACTGTTTACTTTCTTTTATCGTACCATTCAGTGATAAGTATACTTCATTAGCGATTACCTACAGTAAGCATTACTACCGGATTCGAGTTAGCATTGTTTACGAAAATGTACAATGCCTTGATATTTATGGGATGACGGATAAATAAAACATTGAATATATCTCGATGACACGCCCATATTATAACCCATGATTTGTTGTTTTATAAACGTTATTCTCCTTACGGCCATGCGCAAATATCGATTATATTCAAATACTTTTTTATTTTTACGTTCTTTCTTTTCTTTTCTTTTTTTTTCCCCCTTTTTCTTTTGTTCTATTTTTCTTTTTCACTGCGGTCGAAGGATACTCTCATTCTTAATATCCGTCTATTCGTATATTCTTTTTCATTTTATTATGTATGACTCAGAATCGAACGAATGGGACAATAGTTTGAAATGAGAAAGTGGCCATGTTTATTAAGATCTGAATAACTAAATTTAATGCGTGGCACATTGGACCCGTGATGGACCTCCCTGATCTTCTTCATACGCTGGTCGTTGATCTCTCCGCCTGTGTTCCTGTTCAGGGTCCAAATCGGTAAGGATAACCTCCTCGGCTCCATCCGGAATTAATACTTCCTCTCTCATAGGTAAACATTGTTCGAGAGTTGGAATTACAGTTGGATTAATAGATTTAGGGAAATTCACAACAAATTGAATGACAAGTTTGCCATGCGTGAATGGATCCTTGTGAATTGGCATACCCTCATTTAGGATACATTTAACGTCACCATGCTTCGTTACCGTACCAGGAAGAGAGGTGATGACCAAATCTCTACCATCCAAGGAACGAATAACTTTTTGGAAACCACAAAGTGCTTCCACTAATTCTATGTGCATTCGCATTATTAAATCATTTCGCGATCGTCTAAAATACAAATATTAAGAATAAATTAAACGAAATTAAAATTAATCGAAAAAGTTCACGTAGAATATTATTATTATTATTATTATTATCAAAACAATGATTAATTACTTACTTGAACACCTCGTGTTCTTTTTCTTCCAAAAGAATAACGATATCGCCCGCTTCTAATTCAGGCTCTTGGTCACCTTCTCCACTGAAAACTATTTTCTGTCCATCCATCATACCTGGGTCAACATGTACCTCCAAAATTTTCCTATCTCTTATAGTTTTTCTTCCGCAACATTGCTTACAACGATCACGCGGATTGATGCGTTCACCCTGACCTTTGCACTCAGAGCACATTGTTTGCATATGTTGTAACATTCCTGGGCCTAACTGTTGTATCTGTACCTGCATGCCACTTCCATGGCACGATGTGCATTGTTCTACAGAACCTTTTTTACCCCCGATACCTAAGTGCAAAGTAAGTATTAAATATTAAAAGTACATTAACTTTAATATAATAAATTTAATATACCATAATTTTAATTCAATTTACCTTCACACTTATCACAAATGACATTTTTCTGTAATGCTAGTTTACGGACAGTCCCATTATAAAGCTCTTCCAACGATACAGAGAGCTGATGTATGACATCTTGACCTTTTCGTTCCCTCCTTCTACCACTTCTCCCACCAAAGGCTCCACCAAAGAACATATCGAAGATATCCATAGGAGATGAGAAACCATTTCCTCCCATTCCACCTTCTTTCAAGGCTTGTTCACCACCTTGATCATAAATGCGTTTCTTCTCTGGATTAGATAAAACTTCATAGGCTTGAGAGATTTGTTTAAACTGAAATATAATTAATTTTAATACATACATAAGATTATTCTATGGAAAATTTAATAAAATTCAAGGAAAGTATTAAGAAATAGATAATAACCCTTTCTCCTTCATTAGGATTTTTATCAGGATGATATTTGAGTGCAAGTTTTCTGTAAGCTTTCTTTAGATCTTCTGGCGAACAATCGGGCTTAACGCCCAAGACATCATAAAAGGTAGTCTCCTTCACCATTTTGATTGAATAAAGTTCTTCGATATAATGACCAATAAGTGTGAAATATTACACAACTGTTCCTGCTAGAAAATAATAAGATATTAATAATTTGATGAGATTCAAATGTTTTATTGGATATATTTCTCTCGCAAAAATTCTATTCTAAGAAATTATTACAATTATCATATCTTATACGAATATATGATTATTAATTTAACATTAATTCTGTCATTTACGAATTAATTTAATAATCATTTAATAAAAATAGTTAAGGTGAATTTAATTCTTTATTTACGTTAATCTTCAAAAGATAATTTGTATAACTAATAGATTCGATTAATTATTAGCATGAACTAATAAAAAATCAGTATGTAAAAAATTCAAATGAATGATAGAGATATATGTAAGAGTTTCAACAGGATGACCTTGAGCTTATAATCTCACAAACTCCCACTATAATTAAATAATGATCACTTTGAACAGCAGTCAAGGGAAACTTACTTTATGAACTTGTAAAACTTTTATAAAAATAAATCAAACAGGTTCCAAAATTCTAACCTTGAGTTATCCTCAAAACAAAAAAAAAAGAAAAAATAAATAAATAAATAAATAAATAAATAAATAAATAAATAAAGATTTGAATGTATAAAGATGATTAAACAAATAGAAATTAATACACTTGATCCTTAACAAACAAACAATTCGAAATTCAAGATCTACTTCGAGATATACAATAAACTAAGTATATTTAAACCGTTCGCGTAATTACTAGGCTTCGCAATCCGATAAAGTAGATAAAAAGTGAAATAGCACGTTTGAGTTGACGTCGTTGCGATGACGACACGTCAGAATGGACGGCAACACAAAGTGTGAATTAGTAGAAATAAACGTGGGGAAAAAAAAAAAGAGAAAAGAAAAGAAAAGAGAAAGAGAGAGAGAGAGAGAGAAAGAAAGAAAGAGAGAGAGAAGAAAAAGGGTGGAAAATACTACTAACGTATGACTTTTCTATCAATAGAAATATTTAGCGATTACACGTTGTCCATGTGGACGATCCAACAAATCTGATTTCAAAATGGCGACCGAATAAAGCTAGTGCAATAAAGTAATATAATGAACGCGGAATAGATAATTAAAATGCGCGTCATTAAATGCGCAATAATGAATATATTTAAATGTTAATGATAGAAATAAAGAGAGATTTTACGTTTTCCAGAACCTTCCTTTTCCTTCGACGTTTTTTTCATAGACCAGCCAACGTACGACGTGAAGGAAGCAGCGCTTCGATACGAATGAGTTAGAAGGAGTGAGACAGGTTGATGGCAAGAGGAAAAGGGAGAGGGAAAAGGAAGGGCAGGGAAGGAAAGTGGAAAAGAAGAGAGAGAAGAGAAGAGTAGAGAAGAGAAGAGAAGAGGAGGGAAGGGAGGGGAGAAGGAAGGGAAGGAGTGGGGAAGAGGGAGAGAGAAAGAGAGAGAGAAAAAAAGAGAGACAAAGAAACACACAAGCGCGTTGTAAGTTAATATCGCTAAATAAAAGGAGGAAAAAAAGAATGAGAAATTCATACGAATTTAATATTAAATTATTTAATATATGTTAAATTCGATTTTTCAATAAAAACATATCTCTATAGACGAACGAAAATAATGATTCCTATGAAGAGAGACACGCAGGCGCGCATGCGATCAGTCATATGCACGAACCTTACCGACGATTCGCAAATTCGTTCGATACTGATTTGACGTAGAGACTCACGCAAGAATATCCACCATTTTTCGTTGAACTCGCAGGGCGCTTAAAAGGCACGCTCAACCAAGGGAATTACTATCGAATTTAGCTCGATAAAACTATTAAAATTTTCGTACTTATGTTTTATCATTTTCTAAGGCATTATTTTTTTTTTTTTTATATATATTGTATATAGAAAAATATCACGCGATCTCCGTATGATCAATTATATTTTTTTTATATTCTCTCTCTCTCTCTCTCTCTCTCTCTCTCTCTTTCTCTCTGTCTCTCTCTCTCTCTCGTAGTACTAGTTCGAGAACCATTACGAAGCAATTTCGCGAGGCGAAAGACGATGTATATTCGCAAAGAGAAATCTCGATTATTCGATCTATTTCCCTATTTTCTTTCTTCCCCAACGAGAATGTTTCTTCGAAGAGAAGAAAAATATATGTTTATCCTGATCGATCCATCGTATTCGTAGATTGAAATTCTTTCGAAAAAAAAAAAAAAAGAAAAATATAGCTATCCTCAACAAGGATACCGTTGTATTCTTTTTCTTACCTGTGTCAGCAGAAAAGTCGTTCGTAGAAACGTACTCGCAGTGCAACACGTCCTCTCCGACTGTGCAATAGATTTAAAGAAACTGTGGTAACGCGTAGCTCTCCCACCAATATTACGGTTCGGAACCGTTCTCGAAACTTCCTAGAAGAATAATGAACGTTGCTAGCCGAAAGCCAATCAACGTCGTTTAACAGAATCACGAGCGCCAGGACGAAGCGAGCGGTCTTTCACGAAACTATTTCTATGATAATATTTTCCCTATCGATAATGTAGTTTTAAGATCAAACAAAAGATAATTAAATCGACTTAATAAAACTCCTATTAACAATTCAACAGTATTTATTGCTCTTTAATGATATATTAATTAATTTATCATTTTTTACGTTCATTTATTAATCTATATATTTTAATATCAATACATTCGTAATAATGTTATAGATTCTAATCATGTGTCTGTACTAGTCGATATTGTTGTCGTACAATAATATTATCACATAACGTCACTATCATGTAATTCTTGCGGTTATATTATAAACATAACATATATTTATCAATATTGCTTTTTATCGTTAAAAATATATAGTAATGATATTTACAGGTCTAAAAGATGACTGGTACTAAAATTGATAATATTTCTAATCCAAAAGAAATGGACCAAAAAGAACAATTTGATAGAAAATGGAATATGGATAAAGTACTTTTACGTACATTTCTTTTAATAACATGTATCAAAGCGTTATTAATTCCTTGTTAGTAGGTAGTTTTGTAAAAATAGTTTGAAAAACTGATTTATTTTATTTTTATATTACGCTAGTAATTACAAATATATTCATTTATATATTATTGTTGATGTATATGTGTCTATTTTATCTATAATTATATATATATATATATATATATATATGTTTACTTTATTATAAACTCTTATGATTTAATTCATTTTCAGTTATTCTACTGATTTTGAAGTACACCGTAATTGGTTGGCCATAACATATAGTTTACCTATTAGCGAATGGTATATTAATGCCAAATCTCAATGGACATTAGACTACCCACCGTTTTTTGCATGGTTCGAATATGCCCTTAGTCAAGTAGCTTCTTTATTCGACGAAGAAATGGTCAAAATTGATAATTTGAACTATGCTTCATCTACCACTGTCTATTTTCAAAGAACTACAGTTATACTTAGTGATCTTATGTTTGCTTATGGCATAAGAGAGTAAGTATACCATATTAAACTTTCAAACATTTAAATCAAACATAAATAATAAATGATATAATATTGTTATAGATTAGGCGAAGTATTTTATAAATCTTATAACAGTTACTGCGTTTTTATATTTCTGTCGTTGTGCAATATAGGATTACTGATAGTGGACCATATACATTTTCAATATAATGGATTTCTATTAGGCTTTTTATTATTGTCAATTGCTAAAGTTTCAAAAACGTGGGATCAGGTAAATTATAAAAGGTATTATGTTAATGGTAGAGTAATTATTAATGATAATAACTTGCAGATATCTATGTTGCAAGGAGCTGCTTGTTTTGCTATATTATTAAATCTTAAACATATTTATTTATATGTAGCACCAGCATATATAGTTTGGTTATTGAAATCATATTGTATAAAAAATGGTCAATTTTTTAAAAGGATTTTTATATTAGCAACAATAATCGCTACTATTTTTGTACTCTCATTTGGTCCATTTATAAATCAATTACCACAAGTAAGAATAAAAAATATTTGTTTTGTGGTGTTATCTGTATACACAAAAATTTATTTAATAGTTTTAAAAATTAATATTTTAATGTAGATTATTTCTCGACTATTCCCTTTTAAAAGAGGTTTAGTCCATGCATATTGGGCTGCAAATGGATGGGCTTTGTATGTTATCACAGATAAGATATTATCTATAATTTTGAAATATTTAGGATGGATAAAAATAGTTAAATCTGCTATAATGACTGGAGGTTTAGTACAAGAAGAAATATTTATTGTTTTACCTACGCCTAAACCTATTACTACATTTGTACTCACATTTATAGGAATGGTTGTAAGTTTTTGATTTAACATTCATACAAAATAAAATATTCATAACTCAAAATAAAAATTTTTTTAATAATGAAATATATTTATAATATAATTTTTCAGCCAGCTTTGTATGTTTTATTATGCAAAAAATTTGCAATTACTTCAAAGCATTTTCTTCGCTGCTTGATCCTTTGTGCTTTAACGTCTTTTATATTTGGCTGGCACGTACATGAAAAAGCTGTTTTGACTGCAATAATACCATTATGGTAAAAAAAAAATTTTTTTTGCAGTAATTACGTGTAAAGAAATAAAAATATGCAATTAAAAATTGATCTATCTGTTGCAGTGTTCTTGCCGCAGTGGATATTAATGATGCTCGCATTTATATAATCCTAAGTAGTGCCGGATATACTTCTCTTTTACCTTTGCTTTATCCGGACAATTTAACCCCCTTGAAATTATTATTATTAATATTACATATATTTTCGAGCAATTTAATATTACAATATCAATTTAAAAAATCTCTCTTGCATTTACATGAATTTTTATATGTAAGTGTACTTCCATTGATAGCTGCTTATGAATCAATACTACATAAATGTTTTTTTAATGATAAACTACCGTTTTTACCTTTAGCTCTTATTTCGATATATTGTGCGATAGGTATAATTTATTCCTGGTTTCTTTCCTATTACTATTTTTTATGTGATCATGATAATAAGAAAAAAAGAAGAATTAAACAAAAATAAGAGAAAAGATAACGTAATAATAATCCATAAAAAGAACCAAGTTATTGTAATAAATTGAATAAAAGTAATATTTTGTTATATATTTTATATAATTTTATATAATTATATATATATATATTTTTTTTTCCTTTCCTTTCCTTTCCTTTCAAACGAAAAAAAATTTTAATAAAATATTTTTATGTATACACACATATAAGAAGTAAATTATTTTATATATGAATGAAACATCCTGTATAAGTTTTGCCAAATGTGTCAACAGATGTCGCATACAATTACAAAGTATCTCGCAAACGATTAATTCAACGATAATAGATTATAGGGCAATAATTGTAAGTAATTTTTAGGAGGGTAGATGCCCGGTGTTCACCGTGCAGTGAGACGCAACCCTGACGCAACCTGTCTGTAAAATATAGCGTTGAAGAAGGACACAAGGTTCTCCCTATGTTGTCCTTTTTCGTGCGCATATTTTTTTAAGCTGGTTTCTTACACCTTGTTCGTCCAGCTTTAAAAAATAATCGAATGGTGTTCTACTCTACCCTCTTATTTTTTATTAAATTCAAACATAAAATAGTTCGTAAGTTTTATATCAAATATAGCAATGTCTAACATCAATGTGATGCATATACCTGAACATTCACAAAAGGAAGACTACCAAATACTTTAAGGTTAATAATTTTTATTTATCTCTATGTAAAGTCAAATTTAATTTTTATACAGTCGATAGAATTTTTTCTAAAGAACTATTAATGACACAAAAATAGGGAGAGAAATAGAGATCTTCCTTGTCGTTTAGAATTTTTCACTTTTATAAAATCTAATTTTTTTTTTCTTTTTTTAATTTTGCTAGAAGAAACATTAAAACCATTGAGTTTGGACATGATTTCAAAAAACGTTTAAGAAATCATTGTATTGTAGTCAATTTTTTGTATATATATATATATATTTTTTTTTTTTTTATAAATCTAGTAGAGCATTGATAATTTCAATGACCACACTGTAACAAAATATAATCTTATGAAAATTAAATATAATATATTATACATGAAAATGCTTTTCTCTTATGTAGTATAAAGGTAATAAAGTTATAATAATGGTTATAGATAGTGGTTTAGTCAAATATGGAAAGAGGTCCTCGAACTCATAAAGTTTAAGGAACCGCTGATTTATGAAAAGATGAAAGGAATTTTTAATGTTTTATAAATATATTTGGAATCATTCCATCATATTATTAACTTATTCACGTTCCAAACGGAGTGTATATATATATACGTATTATATATATTATATTCTTGAAGAGTTGGAACAGAACGAAGAGTGTATATATAATATACATAGTCTAAAAATTGGCAATATGAATAAGAGTGTGAAACATCGTAAGTAAGGTTTGTACGTCATCGTTGATTTATCAGCAATGCGTTTCGCTTACGAATGACATTATTTCACGAGTCATTGAGCTTTCCGTTTATTTTTCGTTTACCTTTAATGATCGACATATGATAAATGTCTTAAAATATTATTTACCATTATTATTTTAATTATTTAATTAATGCAAGTCTTGTCAATTTTTAATAGCATTAAGATAATGCAATGATAAAATACATTGGTAGATGACGTAATAATTTTATTTATGAAAATCTTAAAAATGATCTTAAATGGGTAAATCGCGATGAACTGTATTAAAACATGGCAAACAATAATAAGGATTGCTAGTACAATTTCCACAAAATGTTGTTACTTTTTTTGTACGATTTTTTGCAAATTCTCGACCAAATTTCTTTACATTTTCTTCATAGCATCTTTTACATCGTCGTCTAGTTTGCCGTGCACTTCCATTTTTACTTTGTATTTCGTGATGCCTTCTAATGGTAAGTTGCATTCTAGGCAAAGATGTGTCAGTATTATTTAGATGTTCCGTCAATTGTTTAACTAATTTTTGTCGGAATTCCAAAATAGATATACGATTGTTTATTATATTATTATGCACTATCCAAGCATTTATTACAGAGGTATTAAATAAAAGTTCAAAGGCCAGTCTTTTATACCATTTCTGGCCTTTTCTCAATGGACTAAGATATGATGTCATGTGATCGGATAAATCAACATATGATTTACTGATATTATAATCTGCAATAATTTTTGGTTTAATACAATTATTCCCTCGGTCAGTAACTGTAACCATTTCTGTAGAATGTTTAGTTGAAAGCATGAGTACATTCCGTTTATCCTTCCATTTCAAAATAGTTATACCATTTTTATGTTCTCTTGCAATTATTTCACCTCTTTGTAGCTTTTTTGATAATATGTCTTTTGGAATGTCGCGACGATTAACTTGAAGAATTCCAATCGAATGTGTATCAACAGAAAGTAATTTTTCAGCTAAAGCAATACTTGTATATCTTTTATCTGTACATAATGTATGTCCAAGATTTATTATATTTTGACATAGAGACATTACAACACTTATGGGTGTCGTTTCTTCTGTACTTGTAGTTTTCTCTGCATATACTTGAAAAGAATTTGTATATCCAGATGTGCTGCATAATTTAAATATTTTTATATATTGTTTAAATATTATTCGTCCACGGAATGGGATAATAGATTCATCAATACAAACGGTTTCACTAGGATTATAATATTCTTTAAAATTTTTATTTAATGTATCAATCAACGTTTGTAACTTGTACAATAAGTTATTTGGATTATTAATTTGCTCATTGTCTGCAAAGTGAAGCATTCTCAATAATATTTCAAATCGATTGCGAGACATAACAGTACGTGGAAAATTTTGAGCAAATAAAACATCTTTCGTCCAGTAAAGTTGTATAGTTGGAAGTTTTACCAATCCCATCCACATAATTAAACCAAAGAGCTGTTTAATTTCATGTATATTAGTGGGAATCCATTTATCCAATCGCTCGGATTGATTTCTTTCCATCACTTGGTTTGCATAAAGATTAGTTTGATTTACAATCATCTGGATTATTTCTTCATTTAAAAATAATGAGTAAAAATCTATTGGTGAATTACATTCTAAAACTTTATTATTTGATACATTGATACCAGGTATGCCGGAAAAAGATTTCAAATTGGGTTGATTGCCAATTGGATTAAACCATATTTGATTACTATTATTGCTATCTGTATACCAGTCACTTTCATGTTCGCTCTCAGTTTCATCATCAGATATGACTTTACAACGTTTAATTGTAGATGATCTGTATATTTCACTTGATGAATCACTCAAAACTTCTTCAGATGACATATGTATTTTTGACAATGAAAATGATTTTACAGTACAATGGTATAATACATGTGCGTAAAAAAATCTGACTGTTATATTGCTCAACAAGTAAAGTTTAATAATTACGATAAAAAACAAAATGATACGATATAAATGTTTGTTACACAATTTCTCTTCTGTTTATGGTGCAACGGGCATCGATGGGGAACAGACAAATAAATATATTACATATCATATTTTCATGCAATTTAATACTATAATTCAATTCAATTTTCTATTATTCTTTTTTAATACAAGTAAATAATATAATCCATGTGACATGGGCTGTCAAAATAGGCATGGCGGTCAATCTGTTAATATCAACGTTTCCAACTGTTTTTAGTGAATTGTCGGTAACATAGGTTGTGATATCTAAGGGATAAATATTAACCAGCATTAAATCTATGTTATATCTTATCCATGGCAAAACCCTTCTAAAAAATCGAGCCCTTGTGCTTTGTGATTCTAGGATGGAAGGAGATGTAGGTGTAGACATGTAGGTGATAGCAAAATGTAACTATGTAGTTGTCAATGATAGTAATATGAATGGTAATTGAATAGAAGGACCTGTCAAGATATGTTCTTTTAACGTGGGTGTTTCAAAATAATAGAAAAAATTGTGTATAGATTTTTTTTTATTAAATATTAACATAATTCATTTTCAATGAATTAATATAAATCTAAATAATAATTTTATCTTTGTAAAAGTATATTATTTTTTTTTTTTTTTAATTTAATCATAAATTTTGAAATTATTATAGAATACTTAAGAATTATTATTTTTTTCTTTCTTTGATTAATTTAATTTATACATAAAAAAAAAAAACAAAAAAAAAAAAATTATACAATTTTATTGCATATATAAAATTAAAAAAATACTTAATTTATGTCAAATTATATTTTATTGATTTAATCATTTTTTAGACTTGAAAGAATTTTATTATTCTTGATATTAACTTAAATCATTTATCAATTATTACAGAATTTCATCAAAAGAGTGTTTTACAAAGACATTTATAATGTCTTCGGTTCAACGTGCTTTTGCTCATAAATTGAGCAAACAGCATGCAGCGGATGTAAGACGACAAATTGCTATTTCTACTTCATATTCACGAGATTTATCAAAAAGTGGTAGTAGTATTTCAGGTTTTTCTTCTACTGTAAGTTCTCTTTCATTTTAATTATATCATAAGATACTTTTTAAGGTATAACTGAGATCTGTTTTCTTTTTTTTTTTCTTAATTTAAAGATGTCTTTGTGCGAAGTATTAGAGCCATTAGATTATGAAGAATTTCTTGTACAACATCAATCAGTTTTAGACAGAGATCCATTACGACCAATATTAGATTTTCCTCTTGGAGATGTCGAGCTTAGAATTGTCAAACGAAAAATTCGTACGGAAGAACCAATAGTGCCATATGAATTATTGTAAGTATTTAAGATAACTTTAAAATTATATTGATAGAAAATTATATGATTTAAATTACAGGGATACAGTATCACCTTATGTTAGAAGATGTATTGAAAGTTTTACTTCAGATTGGGTTATGGTACATAGAAAATACAAAGGAAGAGTATCTCCTATTGCTAGAGATAGATTACTTCAAGATACCCCTAGACAAGATTTTGAGGTAATTTAATATAACCATAATTTTTATTAGTATAAACATTTTAAGATAAGAATTTATTGTATTGAGTAGGTAGATCAAGAAGATACAAATTGTTCTGGATCACCGAATGAAGAAGAAGATTTATCAAATTGTGGAGATACACCAAGAGGTTCCTGGGCAAGTTTGGATTTAAGACATTCTCAACATGATCCACTTCTTCCAAGCTTATTGGATAGAGTATGTCCAGAAACGATTGATCAAATGAATGAACAAAAACGTTCTGAGGATAGACAAGTTAGTAATAAAATTAAAAAAAAATATATATATATATGTATATGTATAATAATATTATCAATTAATATGTTGAAAGATATTGAGATGAGATTAATTTTAGGAAGCTTTATTTCCTTTATATGCTCTTCCAACTTCTCCTGATGATGAATGGCAAGAAATTAGTGCTGCACCTGAACCATCTGATCCTTTTTCTCATAAAATTCTTGTAAAATGTCTTCAATTAAAATTAGAGTTGGAAGTTGAACCAATATTTGCTAGTCTTGCATTATATGATGCCAGAGAGAAGAAGAAGGTAAATATTAGATATATTTTAATATTTAGTCATTAATAGGTAATATAATTTTATTTTTATATTTTAGGTGTCAGAAAATTTCTATGTAGATATGAATTCAGAAGGTTTAAAAAGAATGCTTGGAGGACATATAGTTTACAGTGATGCTAGTACATTAGCCAGAAGTTGCGTTATGAGTATTAGTAAACCAAGTCCAGATTTATTTTTGGTTGTCAGACTTGAAAAAGTATTACAAGGTGATATTTCAGAGTGTGCAGAACCATATTTACGTGAGGATAAAAACAAGGAAAAAGTAATTTCATTCGTAATATAAATTTTATAAAAAATGAATTTACGTTTGAATTAATAATTCTCAAAAATATTTAAAAAATTATGTACATAGGTAAAAGCAGCTGCTGTAGCAGCATGCGAACGATTGGGTCGTTACAGGATGCCCTTTGCATGGACTGCAATTCATTTATCTGGAGTTATAGGTGGTGGTGGTGGCGATACAGATAGCACCGGTAGTGCAGGCTCATTAGACAGAAAATCAGGTGGTTTAGAACAATGGCGAAAAAAGGTAGAAACTCCAACTCGACGTGGTTCTTTAGAAAGACGTAGTTCTGATAAAAGAAGGAGTTGGTCACCTGACGATTTTGCTAATTGTCTTGATACTTTCAGGTACATTGTAAAAATCTATTTTTTTTTTATTTTTTTTTTTTTTTTATTTTTTTTTGTTAATATATGTAAAATTAAAATAATTAAAACTCTTACTTTGATTTATTCTAGACCTATTACATTAACAGTTTCAAGTTTTTTCAAACAAGAAAGTGAACGACTTAGAGATGAAGATTTATATAAACTTTTAGTCGAATTACGACGGCCAGGTTCTAATTTGAAACGATTAAAATGTATACCAGGCATTTTAAAATTAGATCTTAGTCCCAGACCCGAGGAATTACCTAGATGTCTTGATCCTGATCTTAGAAGATTGATACCATATCCTGACGAAAAAAGTCGGCCTGTAAAAGAAATACTTGAATTTCCTAGTGAAGTTATTTCGCCAGATTTAACATACCGTAATCTACTCTACGTTTATCCAAAGGTTTTTAATATGACTTTTTATTCAATCAATAATACAAAGAAAGAAAGAAATATTAAATTATGTGAATTATATATTATATATTTATTTTTGTATGTAGGAGGTAAACTTCAGTTCTAGAACAGGTTCAGCACGCAATATAACTGTTCGTATTCAGCTTATGGGTGGTGAACAAGAAGCAGATGCATTAACGGCTATATTTGGAAGATCTTCTTGTCCTGAAATGACACATGAATGTTTCACATCCGTTTCCTATCACAATAAAAATCCAAACTTTTATGATGAGATAAAGATCAGACTTCCTGCTGATTTAGGTGCTAAACATCATTTATTATTTACTTTTTATCATATTAGTTGTCAGAAGAAAGCTGAACAACCGAATGTTGAAACGGCCGTAGCTTATACGGTAAATATGATTTAATAGATGAACAGTAAAAAAGAATTACATAAAATATACACAAGAAATTACATTTATTTTAGTGGCTACCACTTTTAAGAGATGGACATCTTCAATCTGGTGAATTCAGTTTACCTGCAATGTTAGATCCACCTCCAGCAAATTATTCTTATATTGCCCCTGATGTTTTATTACCAGGAACTAGATGGGTAGATGCTCATAGAGGAGTTTTTACAGTTATATTAGAGCCAGTGTCCAGTGTACACCCGCAGGATAAATATATTGATAGGTAATGTAATAATTACGATTGTTAAACTTAAATGTGTTTTCAATCCTATGAATAGAATAATTTTGTAAAAATTGATTACAGATTTTTATCGCTTTGTGGCTTTTTGGAAACTGGACAAGTACCACCACGTATTGGAGAGGCAGGAATGGAATCTGAGTTAAAGTCAGCTCTTATGGAATTAGCACGAGCTTCTCCTTCTGCCTTGGTTCGCTCGTTGCCACAATTGTTAGATCAGTTAATTGCACTTTTAGTGCGACCACCTACGTTACCATCTCAGTCATTAAACGTAGCAGCTACTATTTTCGAAGCTCTAGGTCTTTTAGTTCGTAATATAACGAATTTACCGGATGGTCAAGTGGATGCACATGGAAGACATGCATTATTAGCTACGTACATAGCATACCAATGTTCATTACCTTCAACATCTCAAACCCCAGGAGTCATGAGAGCTCAAAGTAATCCTGATTTGCCTGTGGAGGATCTAGAAATGGAAGTACATTCTCGAGGGCTAGATAGAACGGCATCAATGAGACAGGAATCTCCATCAATAAACAGTCAACCATCTAGAAGATTACTACACGAAGAAATAGCATTACATTGGGTGGTTTCGACGGGACAGGCACGAGAATTAGCCATAACTCATTCTTGGTTTTTCTTAGAATTAATAGTTCGTTCTATGGTTGTAACATTGTCGGAATTGGGTATATTGGAAGCACCAAGAAAATCAAGATTTTCACCACAATTTTGTGACGATATAGCAACACTTGCTGCAGCTCTAACATCAGAAGTTATTTCTCGTTGTGGAAAAGAAAATCGCGTAGCATCGAACTTAGTTTCAAGTCTTGGCAATTTTCTGTCTGATTTATTATCGGTCATGGATAGGGGATTTGTATTATCTCTGGTTCGTGCTACATGTTGTTCTTTGTCAGATGCTTCTATGCATATTCCTGACTCTGCTGCTCTATTTGCATTGAAACTTGATCTAGTAAGAACAGTATGTTCGCACGAACATTATGTAGCTCTGAATCTTCCATTTGGTACCGGATATACATCAGGATCCGCTCCAGCATCTCCTAGTCCATCCACTGGTAGTTCTGGAAGTTTAATATCTACTCTTGTTCCTGGAGATCGAGCTAGATTCTCTGAATTGAGTCAAGAATTTCGACAACAGCATTTTCTAGTTGGACTAGTTTTATCCGATTTGGCTAACACTTTGGAAATACCAAATCCAATGTTACAAAATAAGGCCATTGGCACAATTCGTTATCTTATGGGTTGTCATGATGTCGATCCTAGATATTCTGAACCTGCAGCAAAAGCTAGAGTTGCTGCTTTGTATCTTCCACTTCTGTGCATTATTATGGATGCTTTGCCTCAATTATACCATTGGGATTCTAAAGATAAAAGCGTCTATCCAGACGAATCTGGATCTATTACGCAATCGGTTGCATTGGCCATAGCTGGCGGAGCTTCTGCTGATACAGCAGGATCACAATGTCGTGTTTCCTTAAGTTCAGAAGCAACAAGGCATCTTTTAATGTGTGCCTTGTGGATACTTAAAGGCTTAGAGAGAAGCGCACTTGGACAGTGGTGTTCGGAATTAAGTTCTAGACGCGTTTTAAGTATATTACAAGTTCTAAATATTGCGACGGCAGCTTTTGAATACAAAGGTAAAAAAGCTTTGAAAAGATTGCCTCCACAAGCTGCAGCTACTAGCGATATTCGTTCAAGATTGGAAGATGTTATACTCGGTCAGGGTAGTGCTAGAAGCGAAATGATGTTGCGCAGAAAAGAAAGAGCAAGCGGCGATAAATTGAGATGGAGAAAAGATCAAATGCCTTATAGGTAAAATTGAATTTAAATATAATATATTAAGTATTTTTTTTTTTGTCCATTTCATTATTAATATGAACAATATTAATAAAATATTTTAAAGATCGTGCGAACAACCAGAGGGAAGAGCAGTGGAGCAAGATGCTCACATAGAAGGTGCCTTAGCAGCTGAAGCTTCACTTGTAGTTCTAGATACTTTAGAGGCAGTTGTACAAGCAGATGGAGGAGGAGGTAAGAAATCATTTAATATTATTTTTATTATTATTAAAAATCTTTACGTTGTTGCTGTATCTATAACAGTAATTATGAAATTTGTAATAAATTAATAGGTGCAGTAGTTGGAGCTGTACTGAAGGTATTACTAAGAGCATTAGCTAGGAATCAAAGCACATCGGTACTCCAACATATGTTTAATACTCAACGTGCTTTAGTTTTTAAATATCATAGCGCTCTTTTTGACGAGGAAAGCGAAAGATGTGGCGATTTATGTTTAACATTACTTACAAGGTGTAGTTCACCATTAAGCGCTATTAGAAGTCATGCAGCGGCTAGTTTATATTTATTAATGAGACAAAATTTCGAAATTGGAAACGTATGTGTCTCATGACATAAGACTTTTATTTTACATTCCTGAAATATTACGTGAACATAATAATTTATATTTCTGACAGAATTTTGCACGAGTTAAAATGCAAGTTACAACGTCGTTGTCGGCTCTAGTTGGTAGAGGAAGAGCACCTAGCGAAGGAGCTCTTCGAAGAGCATTAAAAACAGTATTGGTATATGCAGAACGTGATACAGAATTAGCTGACACAAGTTTTCCGGAGCAAGTTAAGGATTTGCTTTTTAATTTGCATATGATATTATCAGACACTGTTAAAATGAAAGAGTTCCAAGAAGATCCAGAAATGCTTTTGGACTTAATGTACAGGTAAGTTTTTAATATTAATCATACTAAATCTTTGAGAATGAATATTACGAACATATGTTTGATCAAATGTCATAGAATTGCGAAAGGATATCAAGGATCACCAGATTTAAGATTAACTTGGCTAGCAAATATGGCACAACAACACATGGAACGAAAAAATCATACAGAAGCTGCAATGTGTCTCGTACATAGTGCAGCACTTGTTGCGGAATACCTTCATCTTTTGGAACCAGGTGGTGGTGGTAGACCAGTAGGAGCCGTTGCTTTGAGTCCAGTGACACCAAATGCTTTGGAGGAAAGTGCCGTCGGCGATGATGTTTTAGCGAGGAGAGAAGAGGGTTTGTGTTTAGGTCCAGATTTTTCTGAGAGTGGTTTAGCGGGTCTTTTGGAACATGCCGCAAGTTCTTTTCAAGCTGCTGGCATGTATGAAGCTATCCCTGACGTATACAGAGTATTATTACCAATAGCTGAAGCTGCACATGATTACAAAAAATTAGCGAATATTCATGGGTAAAGGATAATGATTTAATTGATAAAATCAAAGGTATTTACTAATCGAACTATCCTTTAAAGATAACGTCCTTTTTCCTTTTTGATTTCATAGAAAACTCCATGAAGCGTATACGCGCGTTGAACAATTAGCCGGGAAACGTGTATTTGGCACGTATTTTAGAGTTGGATTTTATGGAGCACGATTTGGAGATCTTGCTGGTGAAGAATTTGTTTATAAAGAACCAACATTGACAAAACTTCCGGAAATATTCTCAAGATTGGAAAATTTTTATGCCGAACGATTTGGCGCAGAAAATATAGTTATAATCAAAGATTCGAATCCTGTTGATCCAACGAAGTTAGAACCTGACAAAGCATATGTTCAAATTACTTATGTCGAACCGTATTTCGAATTGCATGAACTTAGACACAGGCCTACTGTGTTCCACAGAAATTTTAATATAAGTTTGTATCGATTACAAAATTACAAGCGTACAGAAACATTTTTATCATATATGTGTTTACTTTTATCTAATAATTGTAATGTTTATTTTAGAACGTTTTGTATACGCAACGCCTTTTACACCCGGAGGTAAAGCTCATGGCGAACTCAGGGAACAATGTAAACGTAAAACGATATTAACAGTGGCAACGCATTTTCCTTATTTGAAGACGAGAATTCGAGTGGTTGCTAGAAAGCAGATAGTATTAAGTCCTATTGAAGTTGCTATCGAAGATATACAAAAGAAGACAGCTGAGGTATTCAAATGATTTATTTAATGATACACGTATAAAAATAATAATGGAAATTAGTTAAGTTGATCACCTACAAAAATATTTTCATATCTGTTTGATACAGGTCGCAGCAGCTACAGCTCAAGAACCACCAGATGCAAAAATGTTACAAATGGTTCTTCAGGGATGTATAGGTACAACCGTTAATCAAGGTCCTGCAGAAGTAGCGGTTGTTTTTCTTTCAGGATTACGAGAACAAAATGCACAGCCTTCGAGGTTGCAGCATAAATTACGTTTATGTTTCAAAGATTTTTCGAAAAAATGTCTTGATGCTTTACGCAGAAATAAGAATCTTATAGGTCCAGATCAACGTGATTATCAACGGGAGCTAGAAAGGAATTATCAAAGATTGACCGAAAGATTGGCACCACTTATCGCGTGGAGGTAAGTATTAAAATATGTTCGAATTTTTCTCAGATAATTAATCATTTGGATTTATATATGTATCAGAATTTGTAATGATTACGTTCGTATGGTACTATGTAGCGGACCGTCCTTAGGTATGCAGTCGATTACTCCAACAGCATCATCCCATTGGTAAATAAAAAAAAAAAAATAACCTTTTATTATCTTAGATATGTATTTACCAAAGATTTACTTTCAATTAATAGACGCTTAAGTATACGAATTGGCTATTTAATATATGTATGTATACATATACATATACATATAACTCTTTATTATATGATATATACAATGGTTATACTTAGATTATATATATTAAATATACGCACGTTTTTTTTTTTTATATTTATAGAAAATTAATAATTATACATTTATAGTATTTATACATATTTGATACTTGATAATTATACACTTAATGACATTTGAAAATCGCACATAGATTATAACGAATAAGTATTTTAGATAGGCATTTGCATATCGATTAGATACTATTTTCATGAGTATTTAAAAAAAATATTGCATTGTGATCCAATCATCCATAATTTAGAATAATTTCCAAGTTTGTATATCCACAACTACGTAAGATTTGTATTGTCGAATTATTAACATAATCGAAATATATCTATACCAATTTTCTATTCTACTTCTTTCATCTCTTTTATATTTCAATTATTCCGTAGCATATATTTATATCAGATATTTATATTCTATAGCAGAAAGCACGCATACCCTAACATTTTCCTGATGTTTTTTTTTTGCAATGACATGGAATGTCAAAAGTTGGCCAAACAAAGATCCCATATTATTTGTCCTCCATTCCATTTCCATGAATCTATGAGAGTGATAAGTTTTCTTATATTAATTCTTTTTACTTTTATTATTTTTTTTTTTTAATTTAAATTTTAGCATGCATTTTATGCATTATATATATATACTATCTTAGATTTATAAAAAAAAAAAAAATTTACGAAAATTAAGGTTGAAATATTGGAATCGATAAGACATAAAAATTGTTATGGATTCTTAAATATAAAAAAAGAAAAGATCCAATAATAAATTAAGTAATTTTGAGTCATGTAACGAAACAACGAGATAATTTGATGGTCTTGGGGTTAAAAGATGGCTCATGGCCAAGTGGTCAACCATAGAAACAGCCTATCTCGAATCCTCGCCAAGGTAGTTAACCCATAAGATAGTTGATCACCGTGCTTTAGATTGGCCGACAGTGCAAATGACCCGATAGTGCAACTTGTCAGCTTCCTCGTTGGCTACTTGAATTACTGCAACGTTTTCTAATCAATAGTTTGCATCTACTACAAATGAATATATTAAATAAATCATTTAGTATTTTTGATTTAGAACTTGGTATAATGTATATTTCATGGTAGATTAATGAAATATTTTAAATAGTCTCTCTAATTAATGTTTTTTTTTTTTTTTTTTTTTATTTATGATCAGATAAAAATATTTTTTTTATACATGTTTTATTCTGTTCATTTTTTTTTTTTACGATAATATTCAGTAAAATATATTGTAGATATCGTTATCACTGTTTTGTGTCTATTTACGTTTTCAAGAGTCCGTAAGGAATTTTTCCGGTATAAGCTTCGGGACCATTTTATTTTATCGTTCGCGCATTATGACCTCGTAAAAAGGTCGTGTAAATATAATTTCTTTGGTGCTTTGAGAACAAACGGAGAATGATGATAAAATATAAGAGACAAAGGATTTTATTAGATAGTGAAATGTTCAGAAAAGATACGATAGGATTGCAACGAAGTTGAAACACAGTTATGCTTGTAATATCGATTAAATATCATCTTTGATATATTCAGCGTAACATTAATCTTAATCATTTTTTTTTCTTTTTTTGTTCTCTTTTAATTTTTTTTTTTTTTTTTTTTTTTTTCTTTGATTTCTTGTTTCTTTCACAATATAATTATAAAAGAGAGTGATAATGTTTTCTAACTCTAGGTAAATGTAATACGTACTTAGATACATCCGAAAGATATATAGGTAGTAGAGATATATGGAGAATAGTAGAAGACGAAAGAGGGTGAAAAAGAGAACGTTAAGAAACAATAGCATAAGCTCTAATTAGGTTAATGCGTTGTAGATTCTCAAATATGCATTCGTGTATTTCTACACTTACTTCCAGATGTCCCCGTACAAGAATCTTTTTCCTTTCTTTTCTTTTCATCCGAATATTATTTGAATTTTCTTTTATTCCTTTTCTTTCCTTCTTTTTTTCTCCTCCCCTCCCCTCTTTCTCTCCGTATTTCTTTCATTTCTTTCAAACCGTAACTCTGTTTTACTGTTACTGACGTGATCCGATTTGAAGATCTCGCTCGAAGGTACTTTTACCTTCGTTTTTATCTTACTTCTCTGCACCAAAGTATCTCATTAAAAAAATATCCGTCGTTCAATGCGACTCCAGTCTGTTATCTCCTCTCTTTCGTTTTCTCTCTTTCGTCTTATTTCGTTTCAAAAACGAATTCATGAATCGTATAATGATAGCCATAACAAGAGATTTATATTATTTATAATATAAGATATCAAAGGATTATTCAAAGGTATTTACGGAATCTCAATTTTCTATGGTTCATCGATCATCCGTGTACTTTTTTCCGAACGTACGCCTGAAAATTTAACGATAAACGTTGCACTGTCTCTCAAAAAACGAACGATAAACTACATTGAGATTAATGATCGAAATTTGCCTCAAGAGAATATATGCTATATACATATATGTATGTATATTGTATTTTATCGATGGAAGAAGCTTAAAAGTTCGAGAAAATTTTAGTCCGATGGGTATTAAGAATATTTTTCTGATAAAAATAATTTTATTATGAATTAATCGATAGATTTATCGTTTCGCGATAATTCATAAAGAATCTTTCGATAACTAACATTTTTCATTCTTTTACATACAAAAAATATCGAGAACTTTGTTATGTTAATAGAAAATCGAGCAAAGTAACACCTGTTGCATAGTATAGAATTAATTGCTTATATATATATATATATGTGGACACACTCACATGTGTATACTTATATACATACATACATACATACATACATATATATATATATATATATATATATATATATATATATATATATATATGAGAAATCTTTCCTTATTTAACTTTAAAATGTTTTTGTTTAGAAATAAAAAATCTTATGATAATAATGAAACGTAAATATATTACGAATGTTTTTTAAATAATATTAATATTAACGAATGCATATAATTCAATGTAACAGGTTGTTTTAAGTATTGCAGTACATAGATCATTCGGGATTACTTTTTCTTTCAAGAAATGCCATTTAGTTAAGATTTCCTAGCTGGATTTGTCGAGAAATGCGAAATTACTCGTAGAATAGAAAGTTTTTAACGTAGAGGCTCATTTAAGAATGTGGGTGGGAATAGGCGGAGAAGAGAAAAGAGTGGTGAAATAAGGAGAGTAGGGTTCCTTTGCGAGTTCGCGTCTGGCAAACATGGAGACTATATGCCTCTTTCTTCTTCACTGACATAGCCACCTGCTACCGCCGTCAAATACTAACAAGCTAGACGGCCAATTTTGAAAATCCATGTATCACAAGATCTATATATCACTTTACCGTGTTCTCATATTTAAATTTTTTACAATTGTGTAACAAAGTTTTCTTTCTCCTTTTCTTTTTCTCCTTTTTTCTTTTCTTTTTTCTTTTTTTTCCTTTTTTTTTCACAAAAATTTATCACAGAAGGTTTCCTTTTTTTTGCAAACTTTCTACTCAATTTATTTGTTACGATAATCTCGTATACTATTTATCTGATTAAATCGATGATTCATTATTATATTTATAAGCAATTTGATATGAAATTAATATTATAATTTAATCGTATATTTAAAAAAAGAAAAAAATATTTGTAAATAGAATTTACCAATCTTTATTTAATTTTATTATTTAATTTTAAAATTAAAATCATAATTGAGTGATAAAACATAAAGAACTGTGAGGCGTTTAATTTTTATTATTTGTTATATCCCAGATTATTTCGATATCAAATGGATTGTGAGTTTATTTAAAAATTTTTTTGTATGAATTTTTTTTTTTCGAGTACATTCGCAAAGAATATTTATGTATGTAGATACATACGAAAGGATCGATAAATCGCAGAGTAGAATAAAAGATATTCAACTAAAAATTTTCTTCCTTTTTCATGTCGTGTCCCATAAAGTTCGTACAATATAGAGGAACGCAGGAAAGAGGCTGGACTGGTCTTCCCTTTTCCGTGTTTATTCTATCTACGGTTCATTTAACTCTCAAATGTGCGAGTGATTTTCTCCTCTGTCTACCATTTTATATCTCTACTATATTTCCCTTTTTCCTTTCATTATTCTGATCTTTAATTTTATGAATTAAAAATAATCGAAAAATATAATACATTTAATTAAGAATAAAAAAAAAAAAAAAAGAAAAAATAAAATGAATCTTTTGCAATAACATATTTTTCGATCGCATAATATTAGATTTTATTAAAAATACATTCAATAAAAAGAAAAAAAAAAAAAAGAAAACAAAAAAGAAAAAAGAGAAAGAAAACAAGAATTCTTTGCAATAAAATTTTTCTTTTTTTTTTTTTATTTATCATTGTATTCGATTTTTATTAAAAATATATTTAATATTTAATAGTTTAGAAAGAACTCGGGAAACATCTCATTCCTAAGTATCTTATACATGCTTTCAATCGTAAAGATCCACGTAGGCTCATCCAGAAAAGTCGTAGCGCATTTCTCCACAAACTTTCGAGTCCTTTGACGGAAAATGTTCACGATCCGAATGCGTAGGTACTACTCATGTGTAATGTACTCAGGTTGTTACCTATGCACTTACCCATCCACTCTCGCTGTACGACACGTTGCACTTCCGTTTTATGATTCTCCTATTTGACCGGACGAAAGTATTATAGCGAAGGGAAAAAGCCATATAAGTACATAAGAAAAAGTTTCAATTCCGAAGATAGAAAGTCGAGGAAAAAGATCAAGAAAGTGTAAAAAAAAAGAGAACTATGAATTTTATCGCTATAATACATTTTACCGCTATATATAATATATAATATAAATATTATATATTAAACTTTATAATG